ACCCAGAACATGTTTCCATTCTTGAATGTACATAATAATGCCGTCTAACTTTATTTAATTTTATTGTTTACATGTGGGGTTTTTTTTCCATTATTTTGTTAAAAAGATCACAATAAAGATTTATTACTGTTTTCTTTTTTTCCTTGTCTTGTACTCTTTTTGGATTCTGTAAAATCTGAGTTTTTAGGTTACTCTGCCACTTACATTTAATGACAACAACAAAAAATTCTAAGATTTAGCAGTGAGTACATTGCTGGTGTTTGTGAATTAAGTAAGCCTAAGAAGTGGTGGTTTTCTCCAGAAATTAAAGGGCTGATTTCTCTGCTGGAGTTCCAAGCAAGTTTAGGTTTCACTTTTAAATGTGTAAGTCTTCCTCATTACATTTGTAGTCAAAGCTGGGTACCAGAGAAGACTTCTGGACTGGAAATTCTTTAGCTGGTGGATTTATAATTAATGTAAGTTTTTGATGCTACTCTTTACTAGAAGTAAAAATTCTTTAATAGTAGAAAATATAGACAACCTAATACAATTTTTTTAGAGGTTGGTTTCCCTAAAGTGCCTTTTTTAGTAGTAGGATTTTCTTAACATTTGTGTTGCAAGGACAAGAGGTTGCTAAAAGAAAGTGAGTAGAACACTATCATACTGAAAAGAGTCCCATGTCCAATTGTGTTACAGGATGTAAAAGTCCTAGATACAGGAGATTTCAGAGCATCAGAAGTGAAGTGTGGTGATATTTTCCAGTGTAATTTTTAAAAAATTATCTTACTGTGCATATGCGTGTGTTTTGATCACCATCAGTATAAACACATTTATGCTTAGATCGTCGTCATGCCTTTTATCCATGGGTCATTTTCGAGTTTACATACCATCAGCATTAATGTGGGTGGTATGAAAGCTACCACCTGGTACACCTGGTGTTAAAATGGCCACTTGTTAGGTAATCTTCTGAATAGGCTGCACCTGACTGTGTAAGGGAACTACCTGGTTATGGTGGTGGTACATGGAAAGGGGCTCAAGATAGTAATCCCAGGAAGCAGGGCGAGGAAGCAAGCCATCTATGGCCTTTATTATATCATTTGAACTGCACGGTGAAACATATTTACGTATTCCTTGTAGGCGTCCCTAGGAAGCTTTGACCAAACGTACATTACCTATGCCCGGTTGCAACACTTCTCATCTGTGCCTTGTGAAGGAAGTTTAAGTCTGTTCAGCTTTTGGTACCCTTCTGTTAAAGCAAGGTTGGTCCTTACCTGAGAAGAGATCTATGCTGCCCTTTTGATGCCTTTATTCCTCATGGGAAGATTTTTCAGTGCAGAAAAAGACGAATTTCATCTCTATGGAAGCTGAGTCTAGAAGCAGACTCAAAACCCATTCCTCTCTACCTAGTATGAGTCAGTTGGATTGAATTTGTTTTAAAGAAAGCCTGAGGATTGTAAAGGTACCCTGTGCATACCCCACCATTCACTAACAATTTGAAAACGCATCTTCCCACTCCCTGATATTAAAAACACTTCACTGACTAGATAGATTCTTTCCAGCATTAGAAATGGGAAGGTAAATTATACAAATAACTTTGCCAGTTGCCTCTACCAGGTAAAGTTTAATATCTGATCAGTATAAATGAGAAAGAAATCCTACCTCGGTTCTTAAAGACTTACAATCGAAGGGCTCACGAGGACATTAAAAGGAAATGTTCTGTGATTAAAGTCAGTCTTTGAAATATATGTCCAGAAGTGTGAAGTATTGAGATGCATTAAATGGCATTTGGTAACTGCTAAATTGCAGTCAAGACTTCTAAATTACATTAATCCTTTGCTGTTGCTCTAAAAGGTTCACCAATATATAAAAGAATGTCTATGTAGTTGGAACAAGTTTCAAGTTTAATACAAATGGATTAATATTGAAACCAGGGCACTTCCAACTAACAAGAATATTTAAAAGAGTAGGTGATTGTTCCTGCAATATTAAGCATTCATTTTAGGGAGAAAAGATGGTTACTGACGCTGATTGCATGTGAATTTGAGAAAATGACCCTTATGGGGTAGAAGTATGATTTTACCTAAGCTTAGATACATTTATACTGATGGTGATCTAAGTACATGCGAGTGTGTGTGTATGTGTGTTACATACAGTCAGATTATATTAAATAGTATATGCATATTTAAGAATATCATTAAGCTAGACTTATATTGCAGTATATGTTGCCTTTGTTTACCTGCTTCGAAGTGCAGATAGTTAGGGATATATTGACCCTATCAACTGTAAATTAAAGGATTCCTCAGTGTTTGTTTGCAGCACAGAAAAAACTCAAACACCTGCTTGGCCAGATAGTTTAAAATGTACTCCTGAATAAAAGTAATACTTGTTGGGTATTCAGTGTGTGGTTCAGTGCAGATCAAGCCATTGAAAGGTGTCTTGGATTTGTAACATCTAATTGGTAATCAAAACTGGTGGTTATGCAGAATGTGCATATATGACCCTCATAAAGTATGATCTGTCTTGTTTGAAGGGCCAGCCAGGTAGCTCAGCAGATTAACATGCCTGCTTAGGCAGACATGGGCTGGAGTTCAATCCCCCAGACCTGCATTACCCACTTGGGGCACACCGAGACAGTGATTGAGAGTGGTGGCGCGCAACTGTAATCCCAGTGCTTGGGAAACTGAAAACAGGAGGATCACTACGAGTCCTATCTGTGTAGTGAGATCCTATAGACCCTGTACTAAATACAATTTAAAAAAAAAAGATTTGACAGTAATTATTCTAAAGCGAAATTTACCTGAATTTTCCACTGTTGTAGAAAGTAAATTAGGTCAGCATTCTGATCACATTACATTCAAATTACAAAATTATGCTATTCTAGATTTGTAGTGTGCTTCTACTTAAAGTTTCAGAGACGTTCATTCATATAAATGTCTTTGAGACACAGTTCTCAGAATTGACAAGTTCATTATATCAAATTTTTAAATTCAGATTTTTCTTTTTTTTTTTTTTTTTGGTGGAACCGGAGATTGAACTCAGGCCCTTGCACTTGCAAGGCAAGTGCTTATTCTACTTTGCCATTTCCCCGGCCCCTAAATTCAGAATTTTCACCAATTCTTCCAATGGTGATATATGGACAGGTAGGTAGATAGATCTCCAGAAAATGTTTGGATCATGAGTTTTTAAAAATGAACTACATAAACATAGTTTCAAGTACATATGTGTGCCATGACTGGAAACTTTCCCAAGCCTTGGAGAAGTGACAACAGCCAGCCAGCCGGGGAGATAGCTCAGTGGCACAGATGCCTGCCTGGCAAACCCAAGGCCCTGAGTTCAATTCTCCCTATGAAAAAAAAAAAAATCAAAAGTCCATCCAGTTGTTTTTGGGCCTCTGTTGTAGCCTATTCACTAATAGTCTGGGCCATATGAATCATTAAACATTTTGTTTGTTTATTTCAGTGCTGAGACTCACAGTCAGCATATGGCATACGCCAGCAAGCCCTCAGCCACTTGAGCTATACTTCCAGCTTACATATTTTCTGTACCTAAACATCAAAAAGCTAGTATTTGAGAAGATACAGGTTATATAGAAGTGTTTTTACAGATCTCTTGAAATGCTATGGACTGTGTCCAACATAGTAACTTCAAAGCTATTGATTCTGATGAATAAAGTTCTAGCAATGTAGTGCATTTCTAAGACAACTCTGGCCCTGGAGTTCAAAACTTAGTGCAAGCAAACTGTTAGGGATAGTGATAGGCACAGCTTTCATTGATGCATTTTCTAGTTGGATCATCCCTGGTTATATTCCCTAATTATGTTACTGATTAAAGGTTAAAAATTACCTTTAGAAGGGATTTAAACTGAAAGCTCCAGGTGCATGTCATGTTTGTGTATCTGAAAGCAGGGAGGTGGGGGAGGTTCATAGGTTTAGTGTCTGGCTTAAAATATACAGTCCAGCCTCTAAGAACAATTACTTTTAAAATGATATAATTTAAACTTGGATTTTTTTTATAAAAATAGTGTTATACTAGAAATTGTTAGTATAAAGTATTTTTTATCCAGCTAAGTCACTTTTCTGCTTTTGCTGGGAAATGAAAAGGAAGGGACATAACGGGGGCAAAGGCTGTTATGTGACAGAAAACCTTATCTGCACTCAAGGTGCTCTTTAGAAATAGAAAACAGACTTTGATTCAGACTTGTTTTCACCCGCTTTTCTCTCTGCCTTCGGTTGCAAAACCAAACTCTCACTACTTCTTTCTCAAGGTTGAGCTCTTCAGCCATCCGCAGGATCTCCTGAGAGGAAGGTTTATTCTGCTCTCCGAAGTGTCTCTCCAGAGCGTCTTTAGCTGCAATGCTGTAGGGGTGGGGTGAGGTGAAGTTATGCTGTGTGAGTGAAGCTTTGAGGAGAACAGAATTAACTGAGCTTTCTAAATATTCACATGAAAAATAAAACAAGGATTATGAAAGCACTTGCAAAAGACTGATAGTACAATTTGTTAAAAGGTTCATTCTAAGGGGCTGGGGAGATAGCTCAGTAGAATAAGCACTTGCTTGGCAAGCACAGGGTCCTGAGTTCAATCCCTGGTGCAGAAAAAAGAAAAAAAAAAAAAAAAAAAAAAAAAGAGGAAAGAAAAGTCTCATTCTGGATAACACTACCAAAGTCACAGGAAAAGTTAGTAGAGGGATTCCTGCTTCCTAGATTTATCCAATTTGGTGCCACAAGAGGGCAGCAAATTCTTGCAAAAGAAAATAAACAACTTGGGTGTAAATACCCCCCCCTCCACCATTTAACCACGTATGAAACATGTAGTGAGCAATTGACCGACCAAATGAAAACGCGGGTTGTAGCGGTTCCTAGTGTACTGCACGAAAACAAAATGTAAGTGAGCAACCTTTCTGGGTTGAACTGCTAGAGGTTCTGTTTGACTTTGAAGAGACAAAAATATTGTCAACTAGTTTCGTCATTTTTAGTAAATTGCCAGAGCAATAACTTACAGGTAAGAGCACAGGAGAGTTGATGATTCTCTTAATAGTAATTATTTGAATTTCATTTTTCCTTTGTACTTCCAAAGCAAAACTTTTTTGAATCAAGTAACACGTTTCTATCTAATGTTAAAAACCACTATTTCATTCCTCATTTTAATTTTTAAGTTATATTTCTACTTGTTTCAATTGACTTCCTTCTCCTTATATTGTTATGTTGTACCTATATTATACCCTAATGCTGATTTCATTTGCAAAGTGTTTTTCTTTTGTCTCGTCCCTTCTAATATCTGAGAAGAATACCTTATAGTCGTTCTGCGTTTCCTTTTCCTTTCATTTGCTCCCGCTTTTTCACTGTACAAAGCTGGAATGTGGAAAAGGGACAGCATATGGGTTTCAAGTTTTCTATATAAACAGTGCAAATTAAAATTCCTACGTATTTTTCTCTTAAATTTTTGCAGTCTAGTCCATTTTATATTGCACCCAGTGGGAAAACGCTAAGGCACAAATATTAATCTTGCAACATCTTCTCTGCAAATCATGTTCTCACCTTTTATTAGAACATTTGCTTCGGGTGCTCTCACTCCTGCCTCTTAGCCAGCCTTGATATTAGAGCAAGTGTGTAATTTTACTGCACTCGATTGCTCGTCTCCCAGTTGCTTGTTGTTTGGGAGACTGCTGTGTACAGAGGCCCTCTGTCAGCTAATGGTAGGTTGAGAAACTGGCTCACTTTCAGTTACTGCAGTATAGCAGGAGGCAAAAACACCTAGGTGTGTTAAAGTCTCTTGTAACCCTTCATGCTAAATTAATTTAGAAGTTTTCTTTATATACCTTATTTTCTTGTCAAATGTGTTCATACACTTGCATTTCTTTTTTTTTTTTTTTTCCTCTATTTTAGGGAAGGGTCTACAGGGTGTTCAGGGTCTCACTACTAGATTGCACTCATAGTGATTGTCCTATTTACAGCCTCCCAAGAATATAGGATTTTTTTTTTTTAATTTAAAAATGATACTACTGGAACTGAGTGTGGTGCCGGGGAGATAGCTCAATATAGTTCAATCCCTGGTACAAAAAAAAAAAAAAAAAAAAGAACCAAGAGCTGGAATTACAGGTGCACTCCACCACGCTCAGTCTCAGTCTCCATCTCAGCAAGCCTTGGAGGCTGGACCAGAATAACAGGCCTGAGGATCAAACCCCCGGCCCCTGCCCCTGCTTGCAGGTGCTTTAATCCCCTGAGTTATTTGGCAGGCTCTTATACTTGCATTTCATTGTCCTTTTGTGCTGTTTTTAGTATAATTAAGATAATGTAAAAAAAATTTTTTTTTTTATCTCAAGGGGGTATGAAACCCCTCAAGCTTCTTGCTTTATGGTCAGTCCCGCCAAATGTGAGTAGTGTTCTTAGGCTGCCACGTGGCCTCCAGAGGCGGGTCGGTACCTCCTAGTTGCTCGGCCTCCTCCAGCCACTTGGACAGTATTGCTTTCAGCTTGCACGCGTTTTTAAAACTGAGCTGCAGGTTTTCAAATCTGCAGATTGTTGTTTGACTGAACTCAGAGCCGTGAACAGCTGCCAGGGCCTCCCCAACATTTGTCTGGGTGTATCCTGTGGAAAGACAGCAAACACGATTAGCTGTGGCCCTAGGAGGTTCGGTTTTGATCCGTGATCGCACAAATCTGTGTAGCTTTCTCAGTCACTAAATGCTCTTCAAAATTATATGCTTTTGTTAATCTAAAACTGTTTAGTAATGTTCAGTGTAGGATTGTCCAGCACATCAAAAATATTCTTCTCAAGTTAATAAATTATACTTTTTTAGAACTCAGTGGGAGCATCATAATATTTAGTCAGGTTGCATAGATGCAAATATTTCATCAAAATGCTTCATGTTCCTAATCTTGCTATCATTATTAAATATATATGCTCGATTATCTTTACTATGTCAATGATAATGCATAAAATAAATGGTTATATACTATTTATTTCATATATAAATGAAAATTCCAGCTCATTGAGAAATGCCTAGTGGGTCTATGAGTTTCTCTGAAAGCATGTTTATTATGAGGCTGTGATCACAAACTTTATCCATACTCGTGAGCACATTTATTACAGTATTGGCTGATCCACCTACCTGCAGGTAGAAGAGCTTTGTTGGTTGTCATAAACATTTCTGGAGAATAAAGTGAAGTAAAGTAGCAGCATACCATATGAACTACAGCACTATGAATGGGAAACTAGACACATCCGAGTGTTCTATCTACTGCTATGGTTACTGCACGTAGCAGTTACATGTTATTTCAGATCCGAGGCTATATGCCTATGTGTATATAATTATTGGAGATAGCCATCAATAAACATCTGCATAAAATTACCTGTTCTTGGTTTCACAAAGTGAAAGGTTTGAATCACAATTTTTCAAAAAATTTGCTACCTGAATTCTGTCCAGGGTTAATTCTTACAGTGGTTTTATGTTAAGATATTTTTCAACAGAAAATGAGCAGTGGCTCTGAGCTGACAGTGCGCAGAAGAGGAAATACAGCACTATGAAACCCAAGAAGAACACTCCTTTCTCATAATTAGAAAAGTTTTTAATACAACCTCAGTAAGGTGCCATTTTTGTTTAGTTGATTTCAAAGATCCAAAAGATAAATGGTGCTTTTTATTTCAACTTTTGTTTATTTCATATTCCAAGTACTGTTTTTTGTGTTGTAAAAATGCCACACTGAGTGTACCTGATCTCGTCTGATCTTGGTGTTGGAGATAATGTCATTCAGAAAAAAGGAGAGACTGGGCATGGTGGCGCACGCCTGTAATCCCAGCTCTTG